ATAACCTCAGGGGTTGGCACAACAATTTCAGTTACCTGGGGCAAAGGACAAAATAGTGCCTCTTCCCATTTCATATACAAAAGTTGACTGGACTGATTGTTTAATCTTTCTTAAAAACTGGACATGAGATGGCATCTTCTGCCACAAGTAGCAAGGTGGCAAGTTAACTTAGGGGCCACAGTACTCGCCATATTTCTCAAAATTCTGTCCTACAACACTTTGCTGCCACTACCCAGCATCTGCTGCCTGAGCATCTCTGCCTAATGTCTCTGTCTGACACTATGTAGCCCAGTGGCTGTATCCCAAGCTACCTGAAGTTTTCAGACAATATTCAAAAGTAGCTTGGTATGTAGTACATTCCATTCAACCCATCTTGGAAGTTATTAGAGTGTGGTCCAACCCCAGCTGATAAAAAGTAATATGTACTTGAACTTCTAGTGGCCAAGCTAGATCCAGGAGCATTCCCAGAATGGGAACTTGATCCTTTACAGGGAGTGCAACCTCATCTGAAGCAGGTTCATTTAACACCATAACCTCCCTGAACAGATGAATCACCTATAGCCAACAGTGTTATGTTGCAGTTTACTGGCCTGCATTCAGCTCATTGCTAAATCTAGGCACTAGTTCAACACTTGTATTAGAGAAAATAAGAAAATTCACCATCTGTTTTCTGGAGATTTCTCATCCCAGATTCCTACAAGATCTCTCTTTCCTCAAGTACAGTTTAGGTAGAAGAGGCCAAAGGAGGTATCTGTGGATGCTGTGGTACCTAACAGCATATGCTGGGAGAGGTAGTCATTGCATAAGTGTACCAGCATCAAAAGCACTGAAACGTTGTGCCTTTCCCTCCCAGATTAGACGGAATATCCAGAAGGCCATTGTACTGTTGAAAGGTGTTTAAGGGTCTGGGACAATCAACAGGCAATGAAGGTGCTTTCTATGTCAAAACAGTGCACAGAAAGAGAAATGGATGGAATCATTATACGTAGAATATAATAATAAATGGATTAACACCAGAACACAGAGAAATACAGCCATATTACACAGTAAAAAGTGCCAGCCCTAGGACTGTTGAATGTTTTCAGCTTTGGAGGGGGAATATTTGGGTGGGAAGATCCAAATGTCCTCTACCTGCACACAATGAACACAAGCTGTATATAATGATGTAGATCACCTGCATACTATGTATTTAATGTATGTTGTGAAGTCCTTAGTCCATAAGTGAGAGACACTTGGACAGGAGGCTGAGGAAAGACACAGTGCCTTGTCATAGGCAGAACAAGAAGCCCTCTATCTGGAAGCACCCATTGGGGTCTAAATATAATTTAAACATGGGTTCTAGACAGGGTTCTCTTGTCACGTCATTCAAAACTTTTCTTTGTTGAAACTGCCTTCCAGCACCAAAATTATATTCTGGTGCAGGGATAAGTTGTTGGCAGCATGACAAATGATGCATTATGGTCACTGAATAAGTATCTGTCTAGTATTGTATTTATTGTGCCAAGTCTCTGGCTTGGGGAACCAAACTACATGCCATACTTATTCTGTAGTGTATGTCATATAGTTTAGATTTTTATTTATTTATTGCAGTCGCAATGTGTGATACCTCCTTTGAGAGTAGCTGTAGTTTTTCACTCTCAGTCATGTTCTGACCAAAAATTGTGTGTGGGGGACCTGGCAGGGGAGAGTTACCATCGCCATCAATGGAAATCTTCTCCCTTGAACACTACAAGCAAATTAGGGGATGGAGATTTTTGTTCAAACGTGCCTGGGAAATGACGAGATAAGCCTCCCCTTACCACATGCTGTGCTCAAAGTCATAGTGACTCCCTGAACATCTGTGATTAATTAAAAAAACAAGTCATAGTTGGGTTATAGTTACAAGTTCTGCCATCGTTTCCCAGTCTAGTGTGCTCCATTATGTGTTGGAGTGAGGTTCCCAGTATGCTTTCTGGGAATGATGGAAGTTTCAGTCTAACACATCTGGAAGGCACCAGTCTGGGGAAAGCTACAGTATGTAATACGCATGATGCGCTGTATGGCCCTGAGCTGATGGGAGGGCTCAGAATGTTTAGTTGCTCAAGAACCAAAAGCATTATTTTCAGGGTAAATTCAGGGAGGAATGTAGTGTTCGGCTGAGACTACCCCTCACACAGGGAATGAATGAGGAGACTGAAAAGAATGGCAAGAGCTAGAAAGGTCTAAAAGGAAAGAGGCTGAGGGATTCAGGATGAACAATGGACTGAAGAAGGAACTTGAAACATTGTGTGTGGAGACAGGGAACTGAGCTAAGAAAGGGCCAGAGATAGTGGTCTGAAGACATTTCCCAGCACAAGAGGTGAAGAGACACCAAAGGTTCATCTAAGTAACCACAGTCCTCTGTTCCATACTGACCAGCATCAGACCAGACAGATGTCTCTGGATTGACCATAAGCAGGCTGTTGGACTGTAATAGCCACCTTCTGCTCTTGTTTCTCGACAGTGGTATTTACAGCTCTGAAACCAAGAGGTTCCACATAGAACACCACGGCTAAAAGCGAATGGCAGACTTAGACTTAGGTCTAATCCCCCTGCGAAAGCCACCTCATGTGAATAAAAAACATTCTTTTGTCTGTCCTGGAGCTATAATGAATCAATTTCATTCAGTAACACTGAGAGAAGACAGACACCTCTCAATCTGCTGTCTCTACACAATGTACAGTGTTACACACCTCTATCATCCTCTCTAAAAAGTCTCTACAAAGCTGTTTCCCTTAAAAAGCCTATAGAGTGAAGTGTTGAAGTGAAGGTGTTTTTATCTCGCTTTCCTCCATCATTTTTTCCTTTTCTTCCTTGTTCCCTTCCCCTTATGAGGCTGCAATTGCCAGGGAGACTGCGCAGGAGAAACAAAGAATGGTTGAAGGAGCAATCCTATACATATCCAGACAGGAAAAATTCCTACAAGTCCTAGCATTTCCAAGCCAGCATGTCTAAACATCTTTCTGTCTAAACATGAATAGGACTGTGCTCTAAAGAAGCCATGGCCTGAGAAGCAGCAACGTGGGTGGAGACGTAAGAACTGAAAAGGATGAGCCAGGGGGAAAGGATGGGGATAAAAATGCACATAAAACCTAAACACACGAGACCTGTTGACAAGAAGGAAAAGGGCAGGCAAGGGACCAAGCCAAGGAGTCCAGACTGGGTGGGAGGAAAATTCGGTCATTGGTGGCTTCAGCTACTTCACTGTTGTGCGCAGCAACCCCAGTGGACTGAGGATCAAGAAGCCACGAAAGCACGTGTGCTACAATTCTCCATATTGATTCAAACCTAAGTAGACAGCTGTTTGGCTGCATGCATATAATATTAATAATAATAAAGCATCAGACATTTCAAGTCAAATAAAACCATCCTCGATAAGAATCTGGATCAGTGGAAATAACCAGCCATGCATCTGTCAGAGGGAACATAGGTTGTGTACGTTCAGCCATATTCTCACATGCACTTATTTTCTGGACCATGTATATTTTGTCCAGTTTTAGTATTTCTGGACTGGAATAGGGAAAGTTGTTCTAGTGGAAATCTGATTGATACTGGTTACTATTTTGAAAAATGCCTCCTGGGAAAAGCTCATCTTCACAACCCATGCACTAAAGAAAGCAATAGGTTTTCCAGACAGAAGAGCAAACTAAATCACACACCTCATCTGGCATCAAGAAGGAACTGATGGTCAGTTTGAAAAGCATGGCTTTCTGATGCTGAATCCAACAACAAAATAGGTTCTCCGTGCAGTTTTGTTCGGTTCTGACTTGGACCTGACTATCCCTCCCAAAATTTGACAGGTACCAGTTTAAGCTGGTGCACCTTTTGAGGGACATGTGAAGTGGGCTAGATACTCTTTGGGGTGTGCTTGCATTGCTGCTGCATTTCTAGCATTTGAGTTGGTCCAAAGCCAACCCCGGATCGTCTCCCCCACCCCTTTTCTTTTGTTTTGCCTCCTCCTCTTCCTCCTCATGGTGGCCTTCCCCACTCCACCAACCCGTAGCCCAGCACACTCCTATTTGCTTTTCCCACCCACGGGCAGAAGTTTGGGCGGTGTGTGTTTTAAATTCATCACCGTTGAACCGTGGGCAGGAATCGACGAGGATTTCCAGCCCCCGCAAGGCAGTTCATTCCCATCCTATCGCCCTGGGGGGAAAACGCTGTTGTTCCGTCTCTCCCAATATATAGATGGATCTCCATAAAAAGTTACTAAAACGAATAAGAAATCCCCCCTCCCCAACGATCTGGGTATCTCGCGCGGCCAACTACGTGCATGATCCAATTCCAGTCCAGTCGAAAGGCGCTCATACGCTTCTTTCCAATGCGTCTTCGCTTTAGCTCGAGTGGCTGCCGATCCCACCGAAGCGCTGCGGAGCCCCCACTTGCTTTCCACTCCTAAGAAGAAGAAGGTCTCCCGCCCACCCAGACACCCACCCACCCTTCCTGCTCTCGCTCTCTCTTTCCAAGCATTTCGAGAGCTTCGGTCTCTCTCCCGCTCGCTCGCCCGCCCCCACCCCTTTTTTTTGCTCAAAACAAAACCAAGCGTCCCCCCCACCACCACTAGTCAATTGCTCCGTCTTCCTGCATTTCCATCCCGGTGTTAAATTGTAAAAAGAGGATCCCCCCCCCCGCGCGCCTCCCTCGGCAGGAGCGGCGGCGGCGGAGGCTGCAGGAGCAGCAGCAGCAGCAGCAGCAGCAGCGAGAGCAAGCACCAGCACCACCACCATCAGCCGCACCACCACCACCATCGCCTCCTCCTCCTCTCCTCCTCCTCCCTTTCTCCTTTTGGCAGCGCCAGGACGTCCGGTGCGGTGGTGGTGCTGGTGGCGGCGCGAGCCCACGCGATCGCCTCGGAATCGTCCCGTTCCTTCAAGGTACCTCGCGCGGAGCGAGCGAGCGAGCGGGAGCGATTGCTGCTGCGAGGCGAGGCGAGGCGAGGCGGAGGGGGAGGGAAAAAAAAGCCCAGCGAGCGAGGAGTCACGATGAGCACACGAGGTGAAGGAGCCGGCGGCCAGCCCTCGACTTCTTCCGCCGCCGCCGCCGCCGCCCAGGAGCAACCTGCCGCCACAGAACCGCCGAAGAGGGGACGAGGGAGACCCAGGAAGCAACCCCAAGTCAGTACCCGAGCCAGTAGATCTCCCCCGCCCGGCGCTTTAGAAGCGAGCCGGAGGTCTGTGGGAACGGGGCGCGCACACGTGTGCTCTGCAAAGAGGAAGCGCCGCGGCGGCTTTTGTGTGTGTATGTGTGTGCGCGCGTGTGTGCATGCAAATAGTGTTTGTGGTGGTGGTGGTGTGGTGGCGGCGACGGCGGCGGGCGCGTTTTGCTCGCCAGCTCCGGTCATGAAGAGGCAAACTGGGAAGAGGGTTCTGTGCTGAGGAGGGGGAAGGAAGGAGAAGGAGAAGAAGAGACGGGGGGAAAAAAACCCCTCTTGGCAAGGGGAGGGAAGCGGCGCGCGCGTTTGTTGCTTTTTAAAAGGCGAAACCTTCCCTCGGCCTTCCTCTTTTGTGTGCCAGGAGTGCTGCTTTCGCACTGCTTAACGCGGAGCAGCTCCGCTCCCACCAACCAGCGCTCGCTGCCTCATTTCGAGCAGTTTAAATCTGGAGTGTGTGGGGAGGGAGCGAAAGGGAGGAAGAAGTGAACTCGCACTCTTTGCTATGTCTCAATCGTGTGTGTGTGTTTTTGTATGGGGGGGGGTCTTACAGAGGACGACTGCCCGTTCAATCCTGCCCTACCTCGGAGTTTGTTATCCCCCCCCCCCAAGTCTGAACCTGGGTATGGCGGGGGGCCAAAAATCTCTCCGCTTGTATGGTACGAAAGGGAACCTCTGTTGTCAGCAGTGCATCTTGCATGACTGTTGGCACTTTGGAGGCGGTTTTGTTTTTGTTTTGTTTTGTTTTTGCTCTGGGGAAACTCGGGCTGTTTGGGGAGGTGCGGGTGACTTTTTGGCTTTGGGTTGCGCTTCTCTTCTTGTACCACTTTCCTCAACTGAGCTGTGTTTACTCGCTGAGCGCTAGGATCCTAGGACCCCCTTTCTCTCCAAGGCAGTGTGAAATCCAGAAATACTTTGTACTGCTCAAAGTAAACAGGCCAGCGGGGATACCGGGGTTTTTCTACTCCCTTGGAGTGATGTGGATTTTTTAAAAAAAAAAATATCTGCGGATGCAACCAATTAAGCTCGCAATTGTAGGTCTGCAGAGCCCGCACGGAGAAGCTGCAGACTGGAAGGGGTTTTTGTTGTTGTTTGTAGTGATTTTCATTTCCTCGGAAGTAGCGAACAGTAAAGTGCCTAGTAAGTGCATTTAAAACTGACTTCCGCAGGCTTAAAGCTGGGGGGGGGGGTGTTTCATTCATTAGTATCAAACCATTTCCTTCGGACCACATCAGATGATCAGCAAACTGATCTGGGATCTTAAATACAAAAGCACCTCTGAAAGGGGGTTCCCTTAAGCTTGGGATGATGTTGTTTGAGCACCAACTAGGTCTTGCGCCCACCCACTTATCCCCCTCCCTTTTTCAACCGAAATGCAATAAAATACCTTCGGGAAACCGCAACAGTTTGAATCCCCACCCCAATTGCATTTACCTTTGTTGAGCAATTGCATTTGCAAGCTTTCCTATCCTTAACAAGTTTTCCCACCCCTGCCTGTACCACTCTGGTTTTAGCTAAGGGTGTGTGTGGGGGGTTTTAACTAAGCCGGGGGTGGGGTGGGGTGCATGATTTGAGAATGAAATGTTTAGGGTTTCACTGGATTGCACAGAAAGACACCCCCCCACATGTGTTTTCCTTCTCTCCCAATCAGTGCTCAACATTGTTGCTGTTGTGACTCTTTTGGAAGGATGTAATGTCACTTACAGTGCAATCCTATGAATTCTTACGTAGAAGTAAGCCCCATTAAGTTCAGTGGGACATACTGCCAGGTGTGTATTGGATTGCATTATAGCCCAAAGACTTTACCCATTTAGAAAATTTTAGAATTCTTTAACAAACTGTATCTAATTAGTTGTACAGGATACAAACTGCATCCTGTAATACAAATGAAATGTTTTATACTTGGAAGTGGATGTGGATTTTTTTTCTTTTAGTACATATGATTCAGCGAATAAATATTTGAAATCTGAACACTTAATCATATCCATTTAAATGGCTCTTTTATTTATTGTCAAACAGAGAGGCCATTGGGAGAAGAGAAATTATTTTTCTTCTATAATTTGAATCCCAGACACCTTTTAAATTTTGCATTGTTTTTTCATTTTGCCAAAATTCTGTAGTCTTTTTCCACACACAATATAGAAAATTCCATTAAGTTTAACAAATGGAAGTAAAGTGCAAACTACAGAACAAGAGATAGCTATCTTTGAAACTTTAGGAGAACAAAAGTTGTGTGCAGTTCTTTAATGCTGAGGATCTGCAGCATATTTCGTCTCTAATATTAGAAAAGAAAATTAAATGACTAATGGTCAATACATTAAATTATTAGCTATTGGTAGTTTGTGAAAAGTCTTGAATAACTAAAATGTCAGACGTTATCATTGTTAAATATTTTGGACTGGAAAGAGTCACCACAACTGTAAGAACATACAAACTTGTTTTGTCATAGCAATTCATTGACCATGAAGATTTTAGCCAGTGCATGCAATTAAAAGGGTTTTTTTTCCATTCTCTTGATATATTTGCTTACACTATTAAATGTGATGCAGTTACAAAGTACAAGTTAAGTGTTGTTGCTTGTATTTAGGTTCTCAGTTGAAATTGTTGCACAACAGCATGTTTTCCTGTGTTTAGGAACCAACAGGAGAGCCATCTCCTAAAAGACCAAGAGGAAGACCTAAAGGAAGCAAAAACAAGAGTCCCTCTAAAGCAGCTCAAAAGGTGAGATTACTTCACAGAAAAAAGATTTACTTACATTACTATCAGCCAGTGTCCAAAGGAATTTACTTAATTAACCTCTGAACTGCAGGATTTGTGCCATTTTACTAATATTTCATGCTGGAATGTTGTAAGAGAATCCTAGAGAGACAGTTTCCCCAGTTTTAAATAATGCCTTACAGGATTATGCACTAGAAGAAATAAGTTTATGGTATTGTGAATTTAGAACATTCTGATCATCTAGCAGTAAGAATTAAAATTGTGCAGGCATCTTAAAATCATGCCCAAACTATTTGCTGGAGCTAAGTATTTTGGTGAATATATTGTGGTGATTATCATTATCATAATTAGGGAGGCATTCATGCATCGCTTCTCACTGCAGAAAGCAAATTTAATGTGATCTACACAAACACCTACAAAATATTAATACAACCAACCCCCCAATCAATACATCCATAATCAGTTCAATACATATAAAATAAACACCATGGAAAAATAATAGAAAAGATTATGAAAAGTGTTCATTCACATTACACAAAATCTTGCCCCCTCTCACAACTCAGTATGAGCATCACAAAAGCAGTCAACAACAATTGGGTCATAAGTAATGTCCAACTGCCTAGGAAAATAAGTGCTTCTTCTGTTAATAAAACCAGTGAGTACTACTGGAAAATAGAATATTTCTGAAAATGTATAGGGATCAGAGTTACATTCCAGACTACTCTACTAGCCTATCTTGTGTTGTTTAGTGGTTAACTGAGCACTGTATCACAAGGAGGCAAGTATGTGAGAAAACCTTTTCAGCCAGCATTTTATTCTGAAGATTGGCAGGGGATATATTAATAGATTAATAGATTATTGTTCTTGTCCCCATTTGATTTTTTTCAGGTGGGGAGGAGATTTTTGTTTTTATTTAAATGCACAAATGTGAGTTACAGTGCTGTACTAGTAAGGATTCCTTTGTTTGTTTGTTTGTTTACTAGAAGATACTGGTGGCACTTAGAAACAGTTGTATGTAGCTTTGAAAATAAACACAGGAGTCATGTTTCTGTGGAAAACTGATACACTAGTTAACACTAGCACACTAACAAATATGATGACCAAAACCTTACCAAATCTTACCAAAAATCTTATCAAATCAACTGGTGTGGAAGTGTGTTCTTAACTGTTAATTGTTACAAATTATGTGGTAGAATGCATTTTAGAACATGGTTGTAGACTATTCTGGATAAATCTTTCTTGCTTTTAGTATAGATGCTAGTGGGTTCTAGCCCTGTTATGTTTGATAGTTTTCAGTGTTATAAATTACCATAGCAACTTACAATAAATATTATTTTATTTAAGGGCAGTCTATGGATTTGGGTCTGTTTTATTTTAACTCCTTTGAATATCAGTACAGGAAACCTTTCCTTGCTCTCTTTACATTTGTCCCCTCCTCCTTTTTTCCTTTTTTTCCACAACTAAAGTTAAAAAAAAGTCTTCAGTCAACAAAGTGCAGAAAAAGGAAACCAAATGGTCAAGGGTCTCTAGCAACTCCCCTACAATGAAAGGTTATAAAGTTTGGGGCTTTTTAACTTAGAAATAAGGTGAGTAATTAGTGGGAATGGAACATAAAATTATGCAAGATGTGGGGGAATAGAGTAAGAGAAGTATTTTTCTTGTTCTCTCTTAATTTTAGAACCTGGGTTCATCCTATGAAGCTAACTGGTAGGAAATTCAGGGCAAATAAAAGGAAGTGCTTCTTCACACAACACTTAGCTAAACTATGGAATTCAAGTTGCAGTGATGGCTACTAACCTAGCATTTTTAAATGGCAGTCAGATAAATTCATGGAGAATAAGGCTGATCAATGGCTCCTATTCATGATGGCTATATGTCACTTCCAGTATCAGAGGCCGCATGCTACTCTGTACTGGTTATTGAAGACATGAGTGGGAGAGTCCTTTTGCATTCGTGTCATGCTTGTGGGCTTCCATAAACATTGGCTGGCCACAGTGGGAACAGGATGCAGGACTAGACAAGCTTCAGTCATGGTAACATTCTCTTACCTCGTCTTCATGTCGCTTTAAGGATGTACATTTTGTACAACTTAATAAAAGCTGAAATTAGGTTCATTGTTTTGAACATGTAAATGTTCAACCTAAAATACTTTTAGGAATAGTTCAGGTAATTTACGGTAAAAATTATTGGGGCAACAAGGATCCTTAAATATTTATACATTTAAACAAACATGAACAAACTAGCAAATTATATACATGGATGTGTTTCCTACTGAATCCTACAATATCAGGCCTAGGCAGAAATATTAATTAACCTATGTTTTCAGGATCATTTTGTAATATGAAACTGATTTACTCAGATGTAGGAGCTGGTCAGCTTAATTTCAAATTTTAAAGTTCAATAACATAAGTTTATAAAGACAAAGTTACACACTATTCATAATAACTTAGATCCAAAATCCATATTGAGATCATTGATACTTATAAAGATACCAGTCATTCTTGACTTAAGTTTCTTGAGTCAAAAATATGACCAAATGAATTCTACCCTGTATAAAAGTAAAGATAGACACAGCCACTGGGAGTTCCTCTTGTATAGAGTCCACTGAAACAAATTGGACTTGTCCAGAATTGTGAAGGGGCAAGGCAACCGTGAAATACAATGGAATAGGGTTTAGTAGGTGTTCTCTAGGTAGTGAACCTTCAGCTAAGACCCCCAGCTGGGAAGCTTTTCTTTATGTCGTTTATGTGTTTGCCTTGCAAGTTAGTTAGCCTTGTCTTTTTATTTTATTTAAAATTCTTTAAATAAAAGGACAGAATGTCTAGGATTGCCTCAGCTTCAAATGCCTGCTTAATTCTAGAGACCTGAGTATACTGAGTGTGTTCTTCTGTTGTATGCAAAAGCTGTCCCATACATTTGAATGGAGAGAATAATTTGTCTGAAAAGTATAATGTTCACATTGGATGAATGCAGAGGTTCCATATGAACCACGACATGGCATTGTAACTTCTGCACCAGTGAAAAGTAAGGAATCTCTGGTTTTGGGTTGTGTTGAGGGTCAAGGTACAGCTTCATGTGCTGTATAACATGAGATAACTCACACCTGCCTTATAACTGTTTGAGCTATTCTTAAAGTTAATTTTTGAGGATTTCGAAAAGATTGTAACTTCCTGAGGCATGCCTGTTAAATAATGAAAAACAATGGACACATTTTTTATTTTGACCTTACATAGCAGTGCTTGCTCATTGCTAAGACCAATTCAACCATATATGTAGTTAAATCTGTAAGCCATGAAAAAATTACAGGAATTTCTGGTGAAGGTGGCCTCTTTCCCAAAGTGAGTGAGCGTGCTTATACCCATACAAGATAAACATGGACTTCTAGAGTTCACAAAGGAGGCCTAGGAAGACACTTGTGATTAATTGATAAGGTGTTCTCTTACATGATCCTACACATCATAATAAAAAATGTACAGCTGGTCAAGAATGTTAGAATATTCACACAAGATGGTGAAACCGGCTTTGATATATTTCAGAGGCAAAGACCATCAAACCTGTTGGATTGTCTTGGGATGTTGATGTGTGTATTTAAATTTCTTGATGCATGGTGATATTCTTTCTTAACTCATAGGGTTTATTTTTGGACTTAGAAAACTGGCCTGGGGACATTAAAAAACAAATTGAGCTTGTTAGGAAATTAACAGTGTGAAACTTGACAATTCATACAAAATGCTGGAGGATCAACTGAGCAGTTTGTTTCATGTCTGCTGCACAAATTCCAAGGAGTAGGCCTGTAAAAACAGTCATATAAAATCCACAACTAAATCAAATAATCTGAAGGTATTTTAGAAGCAACAATATTGTTTGTGGGCCTTTTTCTGCAGAAATCGAACATGGATATAACAAGCAAAAGACAACTGAAAAAGAAGTGTTTGTACTTGTATGTTTAGTAGCTGTTCTTACTGAGAGGTTTATACCTCTAAACCCTTTCTAATGTTATTTGAAGGTCTGTTCTTAAAATATTTGGAGATGGGAAGCTTATTTCATATAAAGAAAGCTGGTTGACAACTTTTTGCAGCAACGGAAGAGATCTCACAGTTCTAGTTCTGCTTGTAAGGATTTTACTTGTTCTTAATTCAGATTTATGCTTAACAAGAATGCATAGAAAACTGATTGTTTAGAATGAAGAGATACACTTGAGCTATAATTTGAAGCAGGGTTGTTTGGAAATGACTTTTGTTAAAATCAATGGCGCTTTTGTAAAGTAATGTTCATTATATAACATAAGAGCTATAATCACAGGTGAATCATAGAATCATACAGTTGGAAGAGGCCTAGAAGGTGATTGGGTGCAACCTCTTGCTCAATCAGACCCTGCTTAGCAGCCAAGGTTAGGCAGGATCAGGCACATTATGTTCCTTTAGTTGGGGTAGCAAAAGAAGCCAGTCCCCATCACTGTGGTCATATATGCAGACATATTGTGGCAGATTGGCATGACTTTTATCTGTCCCAGTCCCTGCTATTCTTTTAGTAGCGGAGAACTTCTCTGGTTCAGCCCTATTAACATGTTATATTTACACCAAGAAAGATCTGTTTTGCAGCTTGTTGTAGAATGCTGCCAGATTGATTTTTAAGATTTAACTGGAACTTTTTATAAAACTGATAACTTTTGGGTTATCGCTGAATGTTAGACCCAAGCAGTACTTGAGCTTTGGTTTGTCTTTGTAGCTGACTGTGCCGGCTGCTATGCTCATGTGGGCAAGTAGACCACATGGGGCTGAGCAGATGACTGCAAAGTTTGGTGGATGGTGAAACCAGTCATGTGATTGCTTTGGCACGTGCAGTTTTTAATTACAGCACACTGCTGAAAATCTATCAACCATCAACAGAAATATGGTTTAGTAAATGTGCAGAAAAATTGTGTGTATGCTAAAGTTGCTCTTTGACTGCTTCAGTGTGTGTTGATGTACGTTCTTCATGTACGAGTACCAGTTATAGGACTT